ATATATATATATATATATATATTGCAATAAATTTATATTTTGTGTATACAAAAACAAAAAATCGATTTACTATACAAAATTTTGAAAATTTTCCATTAAAATAATTGACAAAAGAATACCAATAAAGGGAATTTGTGTATATATATAAAAAAAAGATTTGTATATATCTCATATAAACGTTCATTCTCAAAATATGCTACAATGAAAAATATATTTAAATATTAATATAAATATATTTAGATATTAATATAGATTTATATTTTGTAATTGTTGGTTCTAATAAATATGATAAAATAAAAAAGAATCCTCACAAATGAGATTTCCAAAATTGACGCCATGTAAATTTAAATATTACTATAAAATTGTTTTTTTTTTTTGTATGTAACAAATATGCTAATCCAAATCAATGATTCTAATAAATCTGTTAAAATAAAAAAAGAATCCTTGATAAATAAGAGTTCCAAAATCGGCTACATATAATTATTTACATAATCTTTGCCTATAAAATCACTATTAACATAATTAAAGAAAACCAAGAATTTACTAAAACAAACACAAACCGAAAATTGAGTTATATAAAAATTATTCAATTAATGATTTATTTTTTATTTAGATCATTTTATATTATTTCCATCTATAGTAGGTAATTAATGTTTTGAGCGAAAAAAAGCTCCTAAAATGTTTGGGTATGAAAAAATCATATGTTATTAAAAACCTAATTGTAAACAACATTATCAGTTTGATTATTGGGCACACTACAATAAAATGATATTCCAACGGAAATTCCAACAAAAATATTCCGTTGGAATGAATTTTATATTGGAATTTCCGTTGGATTTTGACGATTCAAACGGTGGATTTTTCAACGGGGTGGAAATAAAAATTCCAACGGAATTTGCATATTCCAACGGAAATTTCTACGGTAAAAAAACCATTGGAAATATATCAGTTGAAATCATCAAATTTTTAAGATTGACACTCACTCTTGTTTATCATCATGACAATATAAATGAATGTTTATCTAAAAAACTTAGTTTTTGAAATGTAGTGATCGTGTGTTATTTTTTAATTTCGTGATTGATGGACTCTTTTATTAATTAGTTGGTGGTTTGAATCAATATATAACAAATTTTGTTGCCAATCGTTATTAGAGTTTTTAAATTAATTTGTATAAATGCATAAATAAAAAGAGACCTAAACTATGAAACTTTTTTAATCTTTTGAAATCAAATCAAATAAATAACAAACACTATCTTTTTAATAAATAATGATAATGATTATAACATTGTATTATCAAAACCGATAAGGTATATAAAATTCGTTTTCCTTTTCAAATCGATAATGAAGAAAAAAGTTTAATTGGTGAAAAGATGATATATACAAATCATGATTTTAGAAATCTGATATATACAAATCTTAGCATGCAGTTTCAAATAATTTAATAATATAATAATAGGCTGAATGAATTATGATTCAGTTTCAAACTCTGATTTACTAATATATATATATATATATATTATATATATATATATATATTATTTCTAACAATTGTTAGAAATATGATTGATTCTTAAAAAGAATTTTTTATTGACAATTATTAATTAAATATTTTGTATTGTATTTTAATTTTTTTTTTAAAAATACGTATGATAAGTATGTTTCTTAAATTAAGTGTATTAAGTATGGTAAATGTATTTTTTTAGATTTATTTTTATTTTGATTCCATATTTTGATTGTATTCCTAAAAAAAATTAGATAAAAAAGATATGCTAATAAATAGAGATTTTGTTAATTTACTATTTTTAGGCAATAATTAATGAAATTGGTGGGAAAGTTTTTATAAAAATGAATTATGTTAATCCTTATTATATATTAATAGATGTAAACAAAAAAATAAAATAAAATAAAATAAAATATATTAATTTGTTTAAATAGTAAAATGGAACCCTAGGCAAGGGGCATAAACGGAAAACAAAGGTACAACGTGAGCAACAAGGCCGAAACCCTCTCTTCACCTCTACGATCCTCAACGGTGTTAGCCTGATAAAAATACACGGTTGTTCTCTATATATCTTCTCGATATCTCTGCATAATCTCACCATTTTTGGTGCGCCGAAGGTGAAAAACTCCATTAATTCTGTGCAAACTCAACTGACAAAGATGGAGGAGATCACAGAGGGAGTCACCAACATCAACATCGCTGGGGATTCTCAGAAGAAGAACCGAATCCAGGTCTCCAACACCAAAAAACCCCTTTTTTTCTACGTCAATCTCTCCAAGGTATCGCCTGATTTCATTTTCCTCGCCCCTTTTATGCTCGAATTCATCGTTCGTGAACATGAATGTAACAACAATCCGTGTTTTTGACCTTATGGTTGTGTGGATCTGAGATTGAACTGTTGATTGTTGAACATTTGCAGAGGTACATGCAGCAGCACAGCGAGGTGGAGCTCTCTGCCCTTGGAATGGGTATTTCTCGCCATCTGATCTTCCCTTACTGGTTTTCATTTTATTTTTTTAACAAGTGAACTTGAAATGTGCTCGAATGTGCTTCATGTCTTGTCGTGAGGTTTGAGTTCTAGCAATCTTACATCTGTTGTTGGTTAGGTCGATATAGCTGTTTCTTGTTGGCTGTTTAAGTGGTATTTGGTTCGTTGGCTAGGTTAATGTCGATAATTTTCAGCCAGTGATGTGTAGCATTTGAAGTTTTTTGTGCTTCTTCTATTAGTGAAGTTTCTAGAAAAAAAATATATCAAACGACCCAACGCACTTTGGGTCGCTATGGAAACAACCTCCTTGTATAATTACAAGGGTAAGGTCTGAGTACAACTGACCCCCAGACCCCAACCTGTTGGGAATATATTGGGCATGTTGATGTCGATGTTGATATGATGTGTAGCATTTGAACTTATGCATATTTACTCAAATGAATTCATATGCAGAGACATTTATCTGAGATGATTATCATTTGCATATCTATGTAGCTAGTTGAGCTATAATAATTCTGGAATGTTAGGTTGATTTTTTTCACTAAATGATAACTCTTGGTTCATCGGAATTGAAATTTTATAGACCTTCAAATATAGAGGTGTTGCTAATGAATGTAGTTTTAAAGGGAGAGTACAAAAACATACTTAACCAGTTTAGGGGTTACAAAACCTAAAAATAGGGCATGCAACTTTAGATGGGTTGGGGCTTTCAGTTTTTCGTTTGTATTCTGGAGAGGCTGTTATGCCATCAAGGCTAATTGTTACACACATATGTAATTCATTTTTTTTTGTGAATTTAACTTATAAGGTTAGTTTGACTTTGTGGAGGCCACCTGAATTTAATGTGTAGGCTACGTGTTGTGAGCTCCCCTTAAATTAGTGATCTAGTGTCTTTGTATCTTCTCATAATTTTTTGTTCAAGCGATTACTAGTTCTTAAGCCTATTTTGGTCAAGGTTTGTGTAATTAAATACATTTCGTAATAGGTAAAAGCAAGTGGTTATTTCATTTGTCATGTCTAGTTCTGTTAATCATCAAGTACATTTACAGAAGCTTGTTTAACATGTAAATGACTTTAAATATCATGTGAAACTTCAGTGCACAATCGTTTGGGTAAAATTTTCTGTAGTACCCCACTACCCCTACCCTATTTTTAGGTGAAAAGACATTTTTGTGAAATATGAGACTTGGATATTGACTTACATTTTTTTTTGAAATAATTTTTTCTTTTACTGTAAACTTGTATGCACGTGCTTCTTGTTGTTTACATGTTTGTATCTTTGTTGTTTCACTTTTGCTTTTATGTTGTCTCGATGTTTCAACAATGTCGTATAAACAATCTGAAGTATGATATCAAATAAGGAGTGAATTAAAAGTTGTTCAGAGCATGAGCCCTAAAATGACATTGTCCACAAAATTTGGGGGATTTTTCGCTCTTTTCCTAATAATTTGCCCCCAACTTTCAAGTGACATTTTTCAATTAAGCTCTACTTTTTGCTCATTTGATTAAGTTATTAACTTCCAGTTTTGTAGTGCACTTCAATATAATTTATATTCGTATTGCTATTGATGGTAAATATTTTTCTTCATATGCAGCAATTTCCACTGTTGTGAGTGTTGCCGAGATCTTGAAGAATAATGGATTTGCAGTTGAAAAGAGTAAGGCTCTAGCAAATTATGTTTTTTCCTGTACATGATGTTATTTAATTATTTATAAGTTGGTATTCTTTATGTGCTAATAAGAATGGCTGTGATTTGCAGAGATCACGACATCCACTGTTGAAATCAGAGATGAATCAAGAGGACGACCTATCTCAAAAGCCAAAGTAAGTTTGTAACTTGGGTTTGATGTCAGTGCTTTCATGGTGTGGCCCAATTTGCACTTTAGACATTTCTGTTATGATTCGTGTTTTCTACACAGTTGATATGTTGTGATTTGTGAAGCCTTTCCATGCCTATCTTAGTACCTTAGGACTTCTAGATGCTTCCTTGTAAGTGCTAATATTACCTTTTTTTTTTTTTTTTGTTGGCAAGAAAATTGAATCTTAGATGAGATGATTATGTGTGTGTATAGAATTATAAACCTTTTAAACCGAAGTGATGAAGTGTGTATCAGTCATCGATAACATTGAAGATGACAAAGTGCAATCACTTCACTGCTTGCTCATATTAAATTTTCCTTTGGAATTTTCGTTGAATTAAATTATACTGCATTTTATGGCTTAGATTGAGATAGTCCTGGGAAAGACCGAAAAATTTGATGAGTTGATGGCAGCTGCTGCTGAAGAAAGAGCCGGAGACGGAGACGGAGAAGAGCAGACTTAAAGGAATGGTTTGTTGCAAACCCTTATTGTTGTTTGTCACCAGTTTTTGTTTGTTTGGAGTTTGTAGTTGAGGTTTATAATTAAATTGTGTTTTGTAAAACATAGAAGTTTCAGTTGTAACTGGTAAACAATATAGGATTGTGTGCTTCCAATGGGATTGGCATCTGTGAAAGAAGCTTCATGGCATCTAAACCAGTCTCTTCTTTTCAATGGGAAATTTTAAATCGCGTTTTCTAGTCATCTTTCAAATGTGAATTCATTTATCTTTGACGTGTTTATTAAATTTTTAAAGAGTACCTGTATCCAATGTTGATTTGGGCGAGCATGTATCTTAATAATGATTTAGCGGCACCCTTAGCTTTCTGTCGGAAACCGTTTATCGGTCGGCTGTGTTGCATGTGGCCATTTTGGCTGAGAGGATCAATTGCAGAGTAAAATTTGAGTTTGCATGATGCCATTATTTTTTGTTATGATCGAACGTAATCTTCCTTATGTAACAATCAAGACAAGCAAGAATTTTATGTAGCAATTGAATGATTTTCTTATGAAGTCATTCATCACTTAATGTATTCACACCTGTTTAGAAATGTATTTATTGTAAGATTGGTCTTAATATACTATTTGTGAATTAGTGTGGATGTCCCTATTAGTCGTGCCATCGGATCCGTAACAAAATTGTATCTTAATAATTTGATAGCAAATCCGTAATTATGCTAATAAAATTAGTCGATCAAAATTCTCACAAATTGTTACAAACATGTACTCTCTCCATTTTTTAATAAATGCCGTTTTAAAAAGTTGCACTGTAATTAAGAATATTTTTTTTTGTCAATAATAGCCTCATTATTGAGAATAAAGATTGATGTTTTGAGAAAAGATGAAAAGTTAATATGAAAAGACGTATTGCATTTATTAGTTAAGTGATGGTAATAATGGAAAACTATGTACAAAAGATTCAAAACGTCATTTATTTTGTTAATTGTTCATAAAGTTAAAATGACATTTAAAAAAAAAAATGGACGCAGTAATTGGTTTGTAAATGAGTCATCAATTAACTGAGAGAAGCCCAAGGAGTTGGGTCGGGCCAAAGAATCAGGGGCTCGTTAGAACTTTGTTTGAAGGGAAACTAGTGCGGTACCTGTGCGATGCACGAGCTAGTTTTATTAAGATAAGCAGTTAAATTTGGATGATTAGAAGAACGTAAAATACGTATATTGAAATGAAACACAATGTAATGTTATATATTATTAAACATATCATTGTACACAAAATTATTTGTTTGGTCTTTTGGTACATCGTCTATCGCCACAAATTATATTAAGATTGTAGATAGTCTTAAATAAATCGATTAAATAATTTAGCAGAATATATACGATATTTTGTAAGTGTATGTAATCATTATTTTGTAAGTGTATTCAATCAATTCAAATTTGTATTCTAGATAATTAAATAAACCCAAATTTTTAGGATGTTACAATTCGATTTCATTTTGAATTTTAAATTAATATTATATGACTTTGTTTTATGTTTAAAAAAAGTCTGAATTGAAGAAAGTAGTAATCAAATGATAAAAGATTTTTAAATTTTAATTTGAAATTTGGGCCAATTTTTATGTAATCCGATTTTTTTTAATAAACATGATCTGCTACAATTAGGTAAAGATACATTTTATAGTGTTTTGTCTAATTCAAAATTCTCGATTGTATGGTAAACAATTTTTTTTAATAAAAAAATAAAAAATTTTTGACTTTTACAAAATTGTCATGCCGACTATGCAATCCGATTTTTATAATAAATAATTGATTTGTTGTAATTAGTAAAAGATATATGTAATAGTATTTTGCCTAATTCGAAATTCTTTTCATTTTAATCATTTTTTTTAATAAAAATAGAGAAAGAAATTGACTTTTGCACCAGTCGAAATTTACCTAAATTAAATCCACAAAATATATAAATTTAGGGTGCAAATTAAAAAAAATAAAATTGATGTACCATTTCAAAATTAAATCAACCGTAATTAGTTTTAATTAAAATATAATAGTTTCCAAACAAAACACTTTAGTTTGCCAAAAATTTATGGTATGTAATATTGTTTCTTTAAGGTAGCACGATTTTTTGACAGAAAAGCAACAAATACCATAATTTTAGGGTAGCATTTAATGCTGAGTTTTTTGAAAAAAAAAAAAAGAAAAAAGTTACTAAGTATGGAATGTAATTAATGCTAATTGAGATTTGACCAGAATTTGACCTACTATTTTTAAAAAATGGTAATTCTTTTTATTTATATATAGATATACTAAAATATACTTTTAGATGTAGGATTGGTTATAAGTTTATAACAAGTCTGGACATATCTCCATCTGCGTGAGACTTTTTGGTGTGAGTATGAGAGAAAAAAAAAAAAAAAACTTGGTTTCATACCTATTTTACGGTTTCACTTTCGTTTACGAAAGACTTCGAAAATTCTCAAAATCATTTTAAGTTGAATAAGAAATTAATTTTAAAAGTATAAGTGGAATTTGAAGTTGAGTTTACATAACTCAAAGATTGTTGGATTCACAAGTACTCATTTTTTAAAGAATGCTTGGGCAAGCGAAGCGAATAATAATCATACATTA